CATGTGTCCTCCACCCACCCCAGTGTCCCCCTCCCCACTGTGCCCATGCCACCACAACCCCGTCCCCCCTCTCCTCCGTGTCCCACTCCGCCCCCGACCTCTCCTCCTCATCGTCCTCGTCCCCCATGGCATCATCAATGGCGTCGTTCATCAGCTCCTCTTTCATGTCCATGATCTCCGCCTGCTTCTCGAACTCCATCATGATCTTCTGGATCTGGGGCAGCTTCAGCTGTGGGAGGGGGACACAAAGAGCAGCTCCTCTTTCATGTCCATGATCTCCGCCTGCTTCTCGAACTCCATCATGATCTTCTGGATCTGGGGCAGCTTCAGCTGTGGGAGGGGGACACAAAGAGGGACACGGGGATGTCCCCACGGCCATGGTAGGCCTTTCATGGTGTGTCCCCATGGCCATCTCAGGTGGTTTGTGGTGGTTACACTCTCAGGGACACCTCCATGCCCACCTTGAGTGGTTTTTGGTGGCCTTGGGCACATCCCCTGAGGGAGCTCGTGGTTGCCACAGTCTCATGGACATCTTCACGGCCACTCCAAGCAGCTTGTGGTGGCCGTGACCACAGAGATGTCCCCCTGAAGCACCTAGTGGTAGCCATGGCCTTGGGGACAGCTTCATGGGCAGCCCTGGGCAGCCTCTGGTAGCCACAGCCTTGAGGGTTTCCTCTGGGGCAGCTTGTGGTGGCCACGATCTCAAGAACGTCCCCATGGCCACCCCAGGGCAGGTAATGATGGTCACAGCCTTGGGGACGTCCCCATGGAGCATCTCAGGTTGGACGCAGTCTTGGGGACATCCCCATGGAGCATCTCAGAGCAGTCACAACCTTGGAGATGTCCCCAAGGAGCATCTCAAGAGGGGTCACAGCCTTGGGGACATCCCCACGGAGCATCACAGGGTGGCCACAGCCTTGGGGACATCCCCACGGGTACCCACCTGTCGGTTCATGGTGGCCATGGCCTTGGTGACGCCCTTCATGGCCTGAGCCATGGAGTTGTTAGACTTGAGGGTCTGGATCTTGAGGGACACGGCCTGGACGTTGGCCCTCATGGTGATGAACTTCTTCACGTAGCGCCGCGTCCGCACCAGGTCCTTTGCCATGATCTTCACCGCATCCTGAAGGCCATGGAGGGCAGGGGACAGAGGAGGACATCGAGTGGCCATGAGGTCCCCCAAGAGGTCCAGGGACCCCCTCCTCTGTGTCCCTCAGGGCCCACCACGGTCCCCACCACCATCTCAACAGTCTCCTGGTCTCCTTGGACCCACCGTGGTCACTTGGGGACTTCCGTGGTGTCCCCCCATGGTCCTCTCCAAGCACCAGTGTCCCTGTTGCATCCTACCCTGGTCCCCAGTGTCCCCACAGCATTCAAGTCCCCTCCACGGTCCCCAGATCACCACTGTGGCTCCCTAGTCCCACCACTGTCCCCCCAGGTCCCCTCCGTGTCTCCTGGTCCCACCATGCTCCCGTGGTTCCCCCGAAGCGTCCCAACCCCTTGATGTCCCCACCGTGGTTCCCTCCGTGTACCCTGGTGCCCTCTGCATCCCCGTGTTCCTTCTGTGTCCCCATGGCCCCACCGCAGTCCCTCAGTCCCCTCCACGTCCCCGTGTCCCCTCTCCATTCTCCTGTCCCCACCATGTCCCCTGGTCCCCACAAAGGTCCCCTGGAGCCTTCTTCACCCCCTGGTCCCCAGCAAGTGTCCTGGTCCCCTCTGTGTCCCGTTGTCCCCTCCACGTCCCCATCGCAATCCCTTGCTCCCCTCTATGTCCCCATGTCCCCTCTCCATTCTCCTGTCCCCACCATGTCCCCTGGTCCCCACAAAAGTCCCCTGGAACCTTCTTCACCCCCTGGTCCCCTCCGTGTCCCCACCACATTCCCTTGGTCCCCTCCAAGTCCCCATGTCCCCCCTCCATTCTCCTGTCCCCACCACATCCCCTGGTCCCCACAATGGTCCCCTGGAGCCCTCTTCACCCCCTGGTCCTCACCAAGTGTCCTGGTCCCCTCCTTGTCCCCACTGCAGTCCCTTGGCCCCCTCCATGTCCCCACATGCCCTCTCCATTCTCCTGTCCCCACCACCTGGTCCTCACCAAGTGTCCTGGTCCCCTCGGCATCCCCATGTTCCCTCCATGTCCACACTGCAGTCCCTTGGTCTTCACCACATCCCCATGTCCCCTCTCCATTCTCCTGTCCCCACCACATCCTCTGGTCCCCACAACGGTCCCCTGGAGCCCTCTTCATCCCCTGGTCCCCTCCGTGTCCCCCAGTCCCCTGTGCTCCCCTGGTCCCCTCCGTGTCCCCCAGTCCCCTGTGCAACCCCATGTCCCCACCACAGTCCCTTGGTCCCCTCCATGTCCCCATATCCCCTCTCCATTCTCCTGTCCCCACCACATCCTCTGGTCCCCACAACGGTCCCCTGGAGCCCTCTTCATCCCCTGGTCCCCTCCGTGTCCCCTCTGTATTCTCCCATCCCCACTCCCCTCTCCTGATGGCCTCCCTTGTCCCCTCCTTGTCCCCCATTGGTGTCCCCTCACCATCTGGCCCTGCTTGGCCATCTTCTTGATGTCGACGATGATCTTCTTCTCCTGCGCCTCCAGCTTCTGCCGCTCGCGGTCGAGTTCCCGCATGGCACGAGCCAATGCCCGCTGGTTCTGCCGCAGCAGCTCCTCCGGCGTCTTCCGCCGCCCAAACAGCAGGTCCATGGTGGCAGCAGCACCTGGGGACAAGGCCCAAGGGGACACAACCATTAGGGACATGGATGGGAGGGCAACGACATGGTGGGACACGGGGATATGGTGGGACATGGATACGAGGACCTGGTGGGACAAGGATATGGAGGACACAGGGACATGGTGGGACATGAAAATGGGGGACACGGTAGGACATGGATATGGGGGACATGGAGACATGGGGGAACATAGAGACATGGTGGGACGTGGATATGGGGCATATGGGGACATGGGGACATGGATATGGGGGACATGGGGGAACACGGGGACACACGGACATGGTGGGACATGGATATGGGGGACACAGGGACACACGGACATGGTGGGACATGAATATGGGGGACACAGGAACATGGGGACACACAGGGACATGGTGGGACATGCATATGGGGGACACACGGACATGGTGGGACATGAATATGGGGGACACAGGAACATGGGGACACAGGGACATGGTGGGACATGGATATGGGGGACATGGGGACACACGGACATGGTGGGACATGAATATGGGGGACACAGGGACATGGGGACACACAGGGACATGGTGGGACAAGGATATGGGGGACACAGGGACATGGGGACACACAGGGACATGGTGGGACAAGGATATGGGGGACAGGGGGACATGGGGACACAATGGATATGGGGGACAGGGGGACACACGGACATGGTGGGACATGAATATGGGGGACACAGGGACATGGGGACACACAGGGACATGGTGGGACATGGATATGGGGGACACAGGGACATGGATATTGGAGACACTGGTATGGGGGACATGGAGACATGATGGGACATGGGGACATGGTGGCACACAGGGACATGGCAGGACATGGATATGGAGAACATGGGGGAACACGGGGACACACGGACACGGCGAGACATGGATACGGTGGACACAGGGACATGGGGTGATGTAGATATGAGAGACAAGGGGACACAGGAACATGGTGGGACATAGATATAGGGGACATGGGGGACACATAGACATGGTGGGACATGGGGACACATGGACATGGTGGGATAAGGATATGGGGGACGCAGGGACATGGGGGGACACGGAGATGGGGGACATGGAGACAGGGTGGGACACAGACATGGTGGGACGTGGATATGGGGGACATGGGGACACATGGACATGGTGGGACACGGATATGAGGCACATGGAGACATGGATATTGGGGATACGAGGCGACACAGGAACACGGGGGGACACAGGGACACATGGACATTAGATATGGGGGACACAGGGGGACATGGGGAGACGGTGGGACATGGATATGGGGACATGGGGACAGGGTGGGACACAGGGACAGGGTGGGACATGGATATGGGAGACACGGGGACATGGGGCATGTGGTCATTATGGGGACAGATATGAGGGACACGGGCACAGAGGGGACACGGAGGAGACACGGGGGATGTGAGCGTTGGGGCGCACAGACATTGGGGACATGGGGGGGGGACACACATGGATGAAGCCGTGGGGACCATGAGCAT